GGTTCCCAATTTCTGCTCTCTTGCTCCCGATTTTCCGCAGCTCTTCAAGTCTTCTTCTGAATCCGGCTAACCCCTTTGTAAGGTAATTTCCCCCCTCTGCTCCTTTTCTTGTTCTGATTCCTAGCCGAAATGACCTCGATGGAGATTTCGTCAAGCTCTGATTCCGGTTCGTCGGGTTCCTCCTCGGGCTCCTCTTCGGCCGATGTGAGTGCTCGCTCCCCCGGGAAGGCCAGCATTTCCGGGACCTCTGGTTCAGCCACGACGGTGGGGACCATCCGGGCTGATGGTGAGCCGGATAATGTGTCGCAAAGTAGTGGGAGCGACGCCGGGGACGGGGGTGCCGACGGGGCCGTAGATGTTATTGACGCCGTCCCCCTGAACGAGCGCCCCGCCGGTTATGATTCTGCAGACGAGGCCCAATCTGGCTCCGACCTGGAGGTGCACGATTTAGGTATTCCCATGGATGTGCAGAGGCACATTTGCAAGATTAAGAGTGTCTTAGAGCACAGGCAGTCCCTCTCCAGCGTCGCTATGAACAAGATTGCTTCCTTCTTTCCCCATCCGTTCGTCTTTAGCCATAGCGGGGCCGAACATGCCATGCGGCGACGGCCGGGGATGATCATCCTGCATGTGGATTCTGTGGAGGCCGGTCTGCGGTTTCCTCTCCATCCCTTTTACGTGGAGTTCTTCAACTGCTACCAGGTGGTTCCGGCGCAGTTCATGCCCAACTCCTATAGATTTATCTCCGCATTCCTCGTGCGCTGTTCGTCCGCAAAAGCCGTCATATCGCTGGATCTGTTCCACTACTTCTACCGGGTCACCCCGCAGAATTCCGACGGTTACCTGAGTGTGGCCGCTCGTCCGAAGAGGAAGCTATTTGAGCACTATCCTTCCTCCATCCATGATTGGAAAAATAGGCTCTTTTTTCTTAGATATGACGGTCCTCCCCTCCCAATCCGGTGGAACGGCTACCCTCCGAAGATTGAGTCGCCGGCGCTGTCGGCCGGGCTGGAAGTGGAAGTGAAGAAAGTCCTGGAAGGCGGCGTTCGCCCTATAGGGGAATACCTGACCGTCGAGGCACTCTCTGAAGCAGGAATAGGTACCGCCCGTGTTCCTGGATTTCTTCCTCCCTTGGACGCTCGTCTCGGGGCACGGGCGGTCCTGTCCTCTGAGGTGGGTGTTCCTCCCTATCCCTGTTCGTCTTTTCATATTCTTGTATTTCTCTCTTGCAGGTCTCCCCCTTACCGCCGAACAAATGGACAATGCTGAGTGCCTGAGGAACAGGAAGGCGAAGATGGCTGCGGCCAAAGCGGCCAGAGAGGCAGCCGCCCATGGAGCCGGATCATCGGCCTCCGACGCCGCCCGTCGGACTGCAGACGGTGAGCAGCACCTGATTGCCACCCTGCTGAACGAGGGGGCCCTGACTCATCATGCTGAAACTGCTCTCCCCCCGCCGGTCGTTGCCACAAAAGTGGTTCCCAAGAAGGGGAGCGAGAAGGCCCCGGAGAAGAAAACGAAGAGGGGGCGAGACTGTGTTTCCTCCGGCCCCATCGTTGAGGATGTTAGCGGTCTATCCCTGAGCCGGCCGGCTGAGGAGCTTTGGAGGGAGCTTGGGGCCAAAGCTGGCCTCGAACTGCCCCCCCGGTCGTCTTCCGAGGCGACCAGCGCTGCTCTTGCTGCGGCCATCCAGGTATTGTTGCGATTCGACCCATCTTGTCCCCTTGACGCTCGTCGCTTCGCCGTCTAAACTCTGTTTATCCCATTTTTTTTCTTTCAGTCAGGGCTGTTGGTGCTGCAGGCCGAGGCTGCCAGGGATGCCGCCCTGCAGGAGGCAAAGATCAAGGCCGAAGCCGCCATACTGAAGGCTCGGGAGGCCGCCCGTCGGGCAGAGGAAGAGGCTGCTTCGGCTAGGGAGGAGCTTCAGTCCCTCCGGGCTGAAACCGGCGCCCAATTGGCCTGCCTGGAGAAGGCCGGCTTCAAGCTCATGCCGGTACTTCCGGCCCCAAAAGATGCCACCCCGGAATGGTGCATCGATACCTCCGGTTACCGGAATACCGGCGAGTTTATGGAGTCGGCCAAGGACTTCTGCGCCGGGGCTTTTGGTGACGTGTTCTCTCATGCTCTGGGGAAAATTCCGGCGAAGGACCGTCTGAGGTTCGGTGTGCGGCTGATGGAAAGCTCCCCCCTGTCGCGCCAATTCCTCTATGATTCTGCCGATAGCGCCTTCGCCGGTGGCTATAATGAAGGGATCAAGGCCATCCTCCCAATCTTCGAGAAGCTCCTAGGCCCTGGCGTCAACCCAGCCGATCATACGGATGACGATCTGCTGATCGAGGCCCTGGGGAAAATAGGGCGGGATAGACGCCGGGCGGCGGCCATCGCCATGGGGGATATCCCGGAGCCCCCAACCCCTGAGCCCGAGCCTCGGGAGGAGGAACATACTCATGCCAACAGCCGACCGCCGTCCCCCCACATGTGTTGATTTATTTCTTAGCCTAGATTTATTGCAGTACGTAGACTTGTAGTTTCCAGCCGATAGTGCTGAAGAATAAAGATCCACATTTTGCCAAAATTCGTTCCCTTTGTCTCTTGTTGTATGGAAATTCATTCCGTGCCTCGAAATATTCTGCTGCAAAGTAGTTTGTTGGGACGTCCATCCCTGCTCGTCATTTGACTTTGGGCAGGGACGTCTCCTTGCTCCCCTGGCAACAGCATTCTTGACGACGGTCGTCGGAGGCTGTCCAAACAGCACATTTCCCAAGCGTGAAGTACGTCCGTCGGGGGCTGCCTCAATATTTCCTGACGATGTCCGTGTATGGTTGTATAGAAAGACGTGCATGCCCTATTGGTAGCATGGACATGACCCTTCTGTGCCCTTCATTGTTGACGTAGTACGGAAAATTCCTCCGATACCTCGATACCGAGGCCGGCCCGCCGTCCACACAGCATTTTTACAATTGGGGGACGTCCGTCGGTAATTGCTTCGATGGTACAGTTCTCAAGTGCGGACATATGGATGTGTTTCCCTGGAGAAGCGTCAGGTGGCGACGTTCGTCTACCGTTGCGTGTTGAAATTCGGTGACCGGAAAGACGAGCGTGGCCGGTTGATGCGTGTGTCCTCGCCAGTCGCCGATGTTATGGGCGGCCGATGAACTGTGCAAACATGGGAAGACGAATGTCTCCACAACCCTCCTGCGGGGACGTCCGTGGCATGGATCCGGATATCTTCGTGGTGGTTACGCGGCGACGAAATCGAGGTGCTTAAATACCGTGGTAGGTACCGGTACCCAGGCACCACGTGTCCCGCTTCGGTTGGTGTGTTCCGGCGGTGCTGCCTATAAGTATTCAGAACCCATGTAATCCACTCATTCTTCTCCTTACGCTGCACAATTGTCTTCTCTCTCTAGGTTTCTCTCAAATCGTACCGGAAGTCCCAATTCCCAAAGGTACCGTTCGTTGCCATGTCTTCTGAAAATCGTTTCGACGATGGATGTTCTTCCGGTGATGACTTGGAATATTATGAGCGGGGAATGCCACCCTGGCCTCCCCGTTATAGCCTCAGCTTCTCGTACGTTCGGCGTCAAGTTCAACGCCTGACGAACGCTGACAAGCGTCTGATCAGCCAATGGTTCTATCCTCCCAGAACCTACGACGATCGGCGTCTGCGCAACCCCATGCGCCATCTGCCCGGCTACGTGGTGGTCCACTTGGATTCGGTGGTAGCCGGGCTGAACTTTCCCCTGCATGGCTTCCACTTGGAACTTTTCAGGGCCCTCGAGATAGTACCCGCGCAGTTCGTCCCTGCCGCTTATCGGATAATCGCTGGCTTCATCATTAGATGCCACAGCGTCGGTGTGACCCCCACCGTGGACCTGCTGCACCATTTCTTCCGGCTGTCCCCATTCGGACGTACAGGGTATTTGACCCTGATAGCCCGTCCGTCCATGGTTCTCTTCTCGAACAATGCCGGGAATCCGGACGGATGGGAAGAGCGTTTCTTCCTAGCCAGGGTAGGCTCACCGATGCCATTCTCCGACCGGTGGAATGCTTACCCGGTGAAGACGATCCCGCCACCCATGACGGACGAGGAGCTCGGGTATGCCAAGCGCATAGCCGGACTTGGCATCCAGAATCTCCGATCGCTGGTGGCCGAGCCCTTTAAAGCTCAGGCTGGGTTAGGTGCGTCCGTTTGTACTTGTATTGTTTTGACATCTCTTCGCTGTTATGGCTCTGAACGTCTTGGTTCCTTTTGTGCAGGAGTTTTCCCATCCACGTCCGTCATGAGCCGGATCAATACCGCTTCATCTGCCGCCGGTCGTGATCACAAGGGGCGCGACAATCCCGGAAAGCCGCTCGTCCCCAAGGTTGAGCCCCGGGTGACCAGGGCACGGGCCGATGAAACTTCGGGGGCCGGCGCCCCCAAGAGGCCGCGTGTGGAGGGCACTTCCTCCAAGGCCATCATCTTGGCCGATGATTCTGATGGGGAGCCCGGAAGCCCCCTTAAGCGGAAACCCACTTCCCGGGCCCATCTCCGTGCTTCTCCTCCGCGGAATTCCGACGTCCGTCGTCTCCGGGACGATGATGCCCAAGCTGCCAAGGGTTCTGACGACGCTCGTCCAAACTCTCCCCCAGGAGCCAGTGAGTCTTCTCTTGGCCTGATCGAGTTCTCTGGGGTTGGGCCCCGCAAGGAATCAATGATGCTCTTTGGTCAAACGGCGTCCTCTATATGGTGCGGCCTGAATCTCAAGGTTCCGCAGGACTTCGCTGCTCAGGAGGCTCCTGAAGATCTGTTGGAGTGCGGCCAGAGCACGCTGGACAAGGCTGGGCTCTACTTCCATAGGGCTCGGATGGCTTTCGAGCGCCAGGGCAGGGAGATGGCCAGAGTACGGGCCGAATGTGATGCCCTTCTGAGGAGTGCAAAAGGCAGGGCTGGCACCCTTCAAGAGAAGGCCGAGGCCTATGACAAGCTCGTTCAGGAGAATGCCTCTCAGAAGGAGCTTCTCAAGAAGCAGGAGGCCGAGCTCGTGGATCTCCGCAGCCGGATGTGGGCCGTAGAGCAGGCCAAGGTGGAGCTTCGCCAGACGGGCATGGACAACCATGTCCCTATTTATGAGGCCGATGTTGCCAAAATCAAGGAGTCTGGTTCCATTGCCTTCCAGAGGTCCAAAGCTTACACTGGTGCCATCCACACCATGGCCATGAAATTCCTCCCGAGGCTCGTCGGAGAATTTCTGGCCACCTGCCCGGATGCCTACCTGGACGGGGTCAAATTGCTCCAGGCCACCCCCACCGGACGGCGTTTCCTTAATGACCTTGCCGATGATACTTATCGCAAGGGTATGGTCGGGCTCGTAGCGGAGAATCTCCCCACGTTCGAGCGTCATTTCGGGGCTCCTTTCGATCCGGAGGCGGCTGGCTTCGACATCCTGATGGCTGATGCCCATGCGGGAGCCCTTGAGCTGCTGAGAGAGCAGGCGGAAGCCAAAGCTAGTGAAGAATGCAAGCAGGCTCTTTCCAAAGTTCCAGCTCCGGACGTTGATCAAAAGTGATTTCCCGTTCATGACCTTGTACTTGCACAACTTTTCCATTATTTTCACTATCTTGTGATTTCCCGGCCGATAGTGCCGAAGAATAAAAATCATTCTTTGCTCCATGCTCGTCTGGCTTTTTTTTTTTTTTTTTTTTTTTTTTTTTTTTTTTTTTTTTTCGGAGTCTTTTAGTCTTCGTTCGTCCTTGGTCCCTGGTCCCACCGGCGTCCCCACTTCGAGGAGACGTTCGGTGTCCGCCGACATCACAAGGAGGAACAGGTTTATCTACATCGAGATTCCCCCCTTTTTTCGTTCGTCCATGGTCCTTTACCGACGTCTCTTGCTTCGACGAGGACGCTAGGTACCCAAAGAACTCGCAGGGACGAACAGGTCTACCCTCACGGGTCCCCGACTTTGTTATCCCACGTCCATCGATCCATGGTCATTTGTGGGATAAACAGGTTTATCTTGGCAGGCTCCCTTGGTTCGTCTAGCCCCCCCCCGCGTCTCTACTAACCTCTACATCGAGAGGCGTTCGTCTTCGGCGGTTGGAGAAGATCTGGCACACCCGGACAAGATTCCCTTCTTCATAGGAGCTACCCTCCTCTTCTCCCCATCTTTATTATTTTTTTTTTTTTTTTTTTTTTTTTTTTTTTTTTTTTTTTTTTGGGGAGGCAATCATAGTCTTCGTTCGTCATTGGTCCTACCGACGTTCTTACATCGAAGAGACGTTCGGTATCCGCGGACATCACAATGAGGAACAGGTATATCTGCATCGAGATTCCCTTCTGCTTCGTTCGTCCTTGGTCCGTGGTCCTACCGGCGTCCCTACTTCGAGGAGACGTTCGGTATCCGTAGACATCTCAAGGAAGAACAGGTTGATCTGCATCGAGATTCCCTTCTTGTACGGTTGTTGGCGAGAACAGAAGTGATGAAAAACAGGGGGCCTTATTATTGACGACGTCCGGTCATTTTACATTCAGTGGGAACAATACAAGGACAACGGCCTCTAACTATTGATAGAACTTCTTCAGGTGTTCTACGTTCCACACCCCGGCATGGTTCCCCTCCAGGGTACGGAGGAGGAACGTCCCCTGGTTGTATCTTCTGATGACCCGGTAAGGTCCTTCCCAGTTCTTCGCCATTTTGCCACCTTCGAGTGGCTTGCTCTTCTCTCTTTTCCTGAGTACGAGGTCCCCGGCCTCTATTTCGCGGAACTTCACGGCCTTGTTGAAGTATCTCTGGGTGGCCCTGTGATACTCTTCCATGCGACGAGCCGCTAGGTCCCTCCGTTCCTCAATGAAATGGAGCTCTGCTCGTAGGTTGGTCTCGTTGTCTCCCGGCTGGAAGTGCTTGGTGCGATGTGTAGGTACCAACACCTCCGTCGGCACCTTAGCTTGGAAGCCATAAGCCAAGGCGAAAGGGGTTTCCCCGGTCGCCGTTCTTGGCGTCGTCCTGTACGTCCACAAGACATAATTCAACTGCTCCGGCCAGGTGGAGGTGTAGTCTTCCAACTTCTTCTTGATCCCATCCATGATGGTCCGGTTCATGTTCTCCACTTGGCCGTTGGCTTGCGGGTAGGCCACCGAAGCCTTAGAGTGCCTGATGCCCCACTTTGCCAAGTATGCTTCAAAGCCTTTGCCGACAAACTGCCGACCGTTGTCTGTGATGATCTGCTCCGGGATCCCGAAGCGGCAAATGATGTTCTGCCAGACGAACTTCTGGCACTGGAATTCAGTGATGGAGGCCAATGGTTCGGCCTCGACCCACTTCGTGAAATAATCAACCGCCACAATGACGAACTTCCTTCCACCAGCAGCCGTTGGCAGAGGACCCAACAGGTCTACGCCCCACCTAGCAAATGGCAGCGCGATGGTCATCGGGGTGTAGAAACTCGCTGGTCGGCCAGGGACAGGTGCATACTGCTGGCATACTGCGCACTTCCGCGTGTGGTTGAAGCAATCTTGCTGTATGGTCGGCCAGTAATAGCCCTGCAGGATGATTTTCCTGGCCAAGGTTCGGGGGCCCTGGTGGCTGGAGCAGATCCCTTCATGTATTTCCTCGATTACTGCCGCCGCCAGGCTCGGCGGGAGGCATCTGAGGTACGGTCCGCCGAACGTCTTCTTGTAAAGTTGCCCGTCAATAAGTTCAAAGTTAGGGGCACGCCTCTTTATCCACGCGGCCCTCCCTGTACTGTCATCACCTTCAGGCTCGGGGAGTGTCCCATCTCTGAGATAATCTGCTATCTCCTTTGCCCAGTTAGGTTCGGCAATGGAGATAACCTCCACCTGGATGACGTCCGTCGCCGGTGCTGGGAATATCTCCTGCCTGACGAAGCCTCTGATGTGTCGGGGGATGCTTGATGTCGGGTCATCGGTTGGGGGGTTGCTTAGTTTTGACAGAATGTCCGCCTCTGTATTCTCCACCCGCGATACCTGCTCAAGCACCACCTGCTCAAATTGCGCGGTCTGTTCCTCCGCCAGCTCTTTGTAGACCTTCATTCTCTCCTCCCTGGTTTCTGCAGTGCCGGTCATCTGGGTTACTACCAGCTGGCTGTCCATTCTCACCTTCAGACGAGCTGCTCCGAGGGCTTTCGCGCATTTCAGCCCTGCGATAAGTGCCTCGTACTCAGCCTCGTTGTTGGTGACCTTGAACTCAAACTTCATGGAGTAGTAGGCTTTGAAACCTTCGGGGGAAGTGATCACTGCTCCTCCGCCGCAGCCCCGCGCACTCGAGGCCCCATCGGTGTACATCTCCCACCAATCGTCAAAGTCATTGTTGTCATGGGTTCTGTCCTCGGTGCGCGCGGTGCACTCCGCAATGAAGTCCGCCAGAGCCTGCCCTTTGATCGTCGGCCTCGGCTTGAAGTCCATGTCATACTGGCCGATCATCAAGGACCACTTGGTTATCCTTCCGCTTGCCATTGGGTTCCTGAGGACTGTGGCGAGGGGCTGAGTTGTGTAGATAGTCACCGGATGTGCCTGGAAATACGGCGCCAGGCGCTTGATGGATGCAATCAGGGCGAGGATCGTCTTTTCCATCAGTGTGTACCTTGTCTCGGGGCCGTTCAGCGCCTTACTTACAAAGTATATTGGCCGCTGAACGCCTTCGGATTCCTTTAGCAGCACGGCGCTTACGGCCAGCTCGGCCACCGCCAAATACATATACAATCTCTCCCCGGGATCCGCCTTGGTGAGGACGAGCGGAGAGGAGAGATATGCCTTGAAATCCTCGAAAGCAGCCTGACACTCCGGGGTCCATTGGAAGGGGTTGGCCTTCTTCATGATCTGGAAGAAAGGGATCGCCTTATCGGCGAGCTTGGATAAGAATCTGCTCAGGGCTGCCAGACGCCCGGTGAGTCGCTGCACGTCTTTTAGGTTCTTTGGGGCCTCCATGTCCATAATTGCCTTCACCTTCTCCGGGTTAGGCTCGATCCCCCGCTCGCTCATCATGTAGCCGAGGAATTTGCCGCCCTTGACGGCGAAGGCACACTTTTTTGGATTGAGCCTCATGCTGGCCCTCTCCATGATGCTGAAGATCCTCTCCATGTCCTGGACATGGTCCTCCTTTTTCTTGCTTTTGATTAGGATGTCATCCACATAAGCTTCCATCGTCTTTCCAAGCACGTCTTTGAATAACATCCCAATCATCCTCTGGAAAGTAGCCATGGCGTTCCTCAGGCCGAATGGCATGACGATGTAGCAATACACGCCGTCCGCCGTGACGAACGCCGTTTTTTCGGCATCATCGGGATGCATGAACACCTGATGGTAGCCTCTGAATGCGTCCATGAAGCTGAGCAGCTCGCAGCCCGCTGTCTCATCCACCAGCAAGTCGATCCTCGGTACAGGATAAGGGTCCATCGGACAAGCTTTATTGAGGTCCGAGTAATCGACGCACATCCGCCAAGTGTCGCCCTTCGGGGCTAGTACCACGTTGGCCAACCACTCCACGTGGATGACCGGCCGGATGTGTTTAATGCTGAGGAGAGTTGCTGTCTCCTTCCTGATGAACTCGCGTCGGTCGGACCGCCATATATCTTTTCTTTTGCTGTACGGGCTTGGCGTCCGACCGCACGGCGAGTCTATGGCATATGAGGTTGGGGTCGATGCCTGGCATGTCCTCCGGTCCTCTGGCGAACAAGATCCTGAACCTTCGGAGGACGGCTATGACCCCTGCCCTGATTTCCGGCTCTAGATCCGCACCGATGGACACCTTCCTGTCCGTCGGATCGTCGAGCTCGATTTCCTCCAGCAGGGTTGCTGGTTCTAGATGAGCGTCCAAGTCGGCCTGTTTGGCCTTTTCGGAGATGCTGTTGACCCGAGCCTCCCGCTCGTTGAGCTTCTCCATGGCCTTCGTGTAGCAGGCCCTGGCCATATGTGGGTCCGTACGTGCCACCCCCACTCCAGTGTCGGTGGGGAATTTGATGCATGAATGTCGTACGGAGCATATGGCCCCCAAGTCTTCCAAGCCGGGTCGGCCCAAAATGGCGTTGTGGGCGCACCTTAGGCGGACCACGACGAACGTCATGCTGATCCGGGCAGTGTGAGGACCGTCGCCGACCTCTACCGGCAAAATGATGGTGCCCTCAGCGTCAATGCAATCCCCGGTGAAGCCGGACAGCGGGGTGCGTAGGGGGTGCAGCATGTCCTTCCGGAGCCTCATTCCTTCGAAAGCCTCCCAGTAGAGGACGTTCACACTGCTCCCGGTATCAACGAGGACGCGACGGACGATAGCATCGTTTACGTCCATGCTGATCACCAGCTCGTCTCTGTGCGGCGCCGGTGACATTGGCAGGTCGGCGGGGCCGAAGGTAATTGCCTCGACTCTATTGCGCTTGGTGGGGGGTGCCGATACGGAACCCACATAGAGTGATCTCTCAAATTTTTTCCGCTCGGCGGGTGTATCCCCTGTCTCAGCGCCCCCGAAGATCACCTTGATCTCCAACTTCTTTTTCTCGCCCTTCGGGCCGAGGGATCCCTCCGGACGTTTATCTGCACTTCGATAATCCACGTCCTGAGGTTCTGCCTCGCGCCGATCGTCGCGGCGCCATGTCTTGTGCCTTGAGTTCGGCTTCTGCTGGCTGTTTTTGTTCAGCAGCTGGGCGAACTCGCCCAGGTACCCCTGACGGATCAGCTCGTCGATCGCCTTCTTTAATTGGCTGCAATTATCCGTCAGGTGGCCGGTCCTCTGATGGTATTCACAGTAGGCCGATTGGTCGTGCCCCATATACCTCTTCATATCTTGGGGCTCCATAAGGAGGCCCTTGTCCTTAATGGCCTCGAAGATCTGGCTCACTGGGTAGGCCAAGGGAAAATAACGGTCGTCCGTCCGCGCTTGGCTGTCTCCGGACGGAGCCTTCCAAGGGACCATTGCCCCGTCCACCTTCTTCTTTTTGTTTGGGGGGGAGGGATTGGTTCCTGGCCCGGGTCCGAGTCTGTCTGCCATCTTCCGTGGCTGGGCCGCGGGAATTCCGTCCCGCTGCCTGATCTCCTCCTCAATGGAGGCATACTTCTGGGCCCGAGCAAGAACCTCGGTGTAGCTGGTGCCGGGATTCCTTCTTAGGTCCCGGTATAGGTCCCCTGTGGCCAGCGCACTGGTGAACATGTTGGCGGCCAGACGTTCGTCCAGATCGTCGACCTGCAGGACCTCGTCCCTCCACCTTACCAGGAACCTAGCCAGCGGTTCGTCCCGCCCTTGTTTGATGTGGGCGAGAGCCGTGACGTCCTTCCTGGGGGTGGTGCTGGCAGCAAATTGTGCCATGAACTGCCGGGAAAGCTGTTCGTATGAGTCAATGGTGCCTGGCCTCAACTGGCCGAACCATTCCTGAGCTGGCCCCCTGAGGGTGCTGAAGAACAATCTGCAGATGGCCTCGTCCGATGCTCCCAGCATGGACAGGTTCCCTTGGTAGCTTATCAGATGGGCCTTAGGATCACCAGCCCCATTATACACCAAGTTCCCCGGGGGTCTGCAATCCCGGGGAATCTCGACGCTCATCACCCGTGGGGTAAAAGGTGATGTGAGAGAGAACGAGGGTGTGGCCGAGCCGGCGTCCGCCCGCCTGTTCATCTCGGCTATCTGCCTCTCCATGGCCTCCAGCCGTGCGTCCTGTGCGGCCCTTCCGGGGGACACAGGGGGCGCGGCTTCGGGAGTGGCATTCTGCTGAGCGGCCACAACATCGTGCGGCCGCCTGAAGATCTGTGCACCTCGCCGCTGGAAACGTCGTCCAACGGTGTTGACCCTTGGGGTCTCGTCTCCCCGCGGAATCTGGCGAGGAGCCGATGGTGTGAGAGCCCTGGATGCAGCGATGCTGACCCTGGTCCGCCCTCCCGTTTCACGGGAGCCTGAACCCCCACCTAGCCGCTCGTGGACTGAGGGCCGGTGGTCACTGGATCCCGTCGTATCATCGTACGACTGCATGCGGCGTATGGGAGAGAGGGGCGTTCGCTGAGTGCTTGCAGAGTACACCTGCTCTCGGGCCTCCCGCTCGTCCGCCATGCGACGCATGGTGTCTGCGAGTTCACGCATGAGGCGGGGATCCTGCCTGGCCTCCAGAGGAATGAGGTCAGTGATACCCCCGTTTCCCCCTGAAGTCCATATTGTCGCGGATAATTCCGAGTTCTGGCCGCGATTCCGGCGGCTCGACTCCAGACGCTCGGAGAGATCACGCTGGGTGTTGCTTCCTGACATCGTATTTGCTGTGGGTAGATTTAGTAGCTGTTTGGGAGAGTTTCTGGAAACTTTTTGCTCAGTTTCCCACAGACGGCGCCAGTGTTGAGGTTTATTCCTTCAACCCGTGGACCCAACACGTAAGCCCAAAGGTTTCGAGTGGAGTGGATGTATGGTTATCTAGCCCAACAACTATTAGATGAATCAGGAAACAAGAGTAATAGCAGGCAATGTAAATAGGTATTATTAACTTCGTAATAACTCCCCTAAGTACAATCTACTTGCTAACAAAGGCACGTCGGCCGTTCGTCTTACAAGGCAGTTAGAAATGCTGTCAGTAAGAGTGCTGAAGCTAGTATGCTAAGAATAGAAAGTTGCCAACCCTTTACAATGAAATAAATGCTTCTATTTATACCCGCCAATGGGCAGGTGGCTGTACTGACGTGGCAGCCTGTGGACCGCTGGTGTCCCAACTACCAAATCTTTAGCATTAAATGCACTTCCCGCCAGAATCTAGGTTTCCCGCCGGATCAGTGGGGACGTTCGTCCACCCCGGAAGTGAGTTGGATTGCTCCAAGTGATCCTTGAGGGATATCGGCTGTTCGTCGCCTGGCCTTTATAGATACTCACCATGTGCACTGGGTTTTCCCCGATAACCACAGGCTTGCTCCGGGGACGTTCGTCGCCATCCCCGCTGGCCCGTGATTCTGCTCTTTGTCTCTGCACAGACGTTCGTCGGAATGAGCTGCTGGGCCTGAGTCCTCCAACACCAGACGTTCGTCCATCCTCAAGAGACATGGGCCTGTGGGCTGGCCTGGTTTCTAGCTGGACGTTCGTCTGGCAAAATGGGTTAGTGGGCCGGACCTCGGCTTGGGCCCTTAACCCAACAATAAGTTTTTTGCCCATCGTGTGTGGGCGGGCCCGGCCCGCAAAAACGGGCCTAACCCCATGTCCATACCCACCCGTAAGAGCGGGCCGGGTAGTCCACCGGGCCGCCAGGCCCGGGAAGACTTTAAATTTTTTAAAATTATATAATTTATTTAATACTTTATAAATAATATTACAACATTTAAAAAATTGCTAATACGCTTATAATGTATATAGGCCTTTCATCACATACACAAAAAATATTTACACAAAAATAATAATGAGAAACTATATCTAAAATTTAAAATTCATGCACAAAGTATTATCGTTAAGTACAAAAATAGATATTATATTGGTTGGACTATTTGTTAAGAACTAAAAACTTAAATTTAAACATAATAAACTATAAATATGTATACAGATAAATAAGTAAATATAAAAATATACATGCGTACATGTAAATAAATACATAAACTAGTATATATAAAAATATATATGTATATATACTAAATGTAGCGGGCCGGGCTTATCGGCCCGAACGGGCCTACACCCTAACCCAAGCCCGCCCATATGTTGTTGCGGGCTGGGCACGGGCCGGGCCGGTGGGTAAATATATATGCCCAAGCCCGCTAATTTGTGCGGGCGGGCTGGGCGGGCCGGGCGGGCCAACCCGGTTTTGTACAGGTCTAATCTCAAGTTCATACTTCATAATAGTGTTTATGTGATAAACTGAGGAACTGAATCGTTGGTAAGAGATTCAGAGTGGAGCTAAACTCTAAAGGCAAAAAAAGAGTTTTTTCCATTTTCGGTCCCTCAACTATTGTGTCAGTGACACTTTTGGTACTCGACTTTTAATTTTTCCATTTTTAGTCCTCAACTTTGGTGTTAGAGACACTTTTAGTCCTCGACTTCAAAGTGTTCCACATTTAGTCCTTTGATATTATCAAATTGACACTTTTAGTCCTTCCACTATGATTTTGACACAATAAGTGACGGACTAAAAATGTCACTGTTATAATAGTTGGAGGACCAAAAGTGTCACTTTTATGTAAGTCGAAAGACTATAAATGGAAATTTTCAAAGATGGGTACCAAAAGTGTCTCTAGTATAATAGTTGAGGACTAAAAGTGGAAAAAATCAAAGTCGAGTACCAAAAGTGTCAGTGACATAATAGTCGAAGGACTAAAAGTGGAAAAAACTCGGCAAAAAAACGAGCCAATCCGCTAGAAAATGCAGTGTTCACATGCAACTAACAAGAACACACACTCCTTTACATTCCCTTCACCGGCACATCTGTATTTAGATGTAGTATACTTCACCCACTGATAGATCAACTCAAGATTAAAGATCACAAAATGTTTGGTACACATGTCACTTCAACAAACTCAACGAGCTCAGACAACAATAAATTTAAAAAATAATTAAACTCTAACAACCTTAAAAATCAAAATTGCGGCAACATTGGCTCAGGCAGACATCAATAGGGAGGCTAGAGTTACCACTGTTGTCATATGATTGAACTACCAAGAAGTGAAAATGTTGAATCTATAGTATCTTCCACTTGCGTTCCACAGCATTGGCTATCATAGATATACAGTATGCAGCACTAAGTGGATAATCTGAAACTGCAACGATATATAAATATATACCACAATAATTGTTATCAGAAACATTGTGTTTGAAAATAACATTGCAAACCATGCCACAAATGCTGTTATTTGAAACCAATTCTTGGAGATATCGTATTTCTTTACATGTGTTATCCTGCTGCAATCCTTTTTATGTTGACAGAAGTTGAAAGTATGTAGAGTTGGTATTTCTTTACATGTGTTATCCTGCTGCAATCCTTTTTATGTTGACAGAAGTTGAAAGTATGTAGAGTTGGGAACTCGAGACGTTGACAATTCTACATCTTTGACCAAAAACTAAATTCGAATTATCAAATAGACTTTAGAACTACTTCAGATTATTTCTCTAGCAATTCGAAGAAATCATAAGCCGTTCACTCATTCACTGTAATACAAATTTTTAGTGGTGTTTGTCGGTTATGTTCGGTTAGTTTTGGTGTAGAAAATGCAAAACCAAAAGGCTAAAGTTGGTTTTGGTTTGTTTTTTATCAGTGGTTTTAATATCTTCTGGTTGGTTTGGCTGGTTATTAATGCCTAAACCTGCAACCATACACCATGCATGCTTAGATTGGTTTTGGAGTTCGGGTCGATTTAGATGAGTACAGCCCGGTCTACATTTGTTTTGGCTCTACCTATTTCAATTTACATGTCCTGTTTCATCAAAGATAGTTCGCTGATATGGATGAACTTACTCAGTCTTGTGAATCTAAATGTTAGACAATAGACAGTATCCAGTGCAGCCAATGAAGCAATCAAGCAAGTAAGAAGCCTCTAACTCTGCTTCTTTTCCTAATAGTCAATATTTGTCACAACTATGTTCCAGAACTGTGTAATTAAGCTACCAAGCAGGGCCTTAAATAGTTAAAATGCTAAAGTGATTTAGAAGGGATTTAGAACAACTCTAAAAACACGAGCCCTTCCAAAGAAAATAAATAAAAGGTTACATTGACTTGGTTTATTTAATAACAAGCAAGGCAACATAGTCCATAATAATAGAGTTAGGAAAAGAAAAGAGCAATAGAAAACACATTACCTGAAACATAGTCTTCAACATAATCGTTACCAATTTTTCCATGGGACATTGCACCGAGCTGCACATTGGCACAATGCAGTTTAGAAACAAATCAAATTAATACAGCACAGCATGATGATTTTTTTTCTCATACCACAAAAACAAGGTTTGTATCACTGCCAACATTGTCAACATAGTTCTGAATGTCAACCAACTTCTCTGAACTGTGTGAAAAACCTGTCAAATTTTAAAGCAAAGTAACTAAAATTAACTGAACTTTCAATTGGGTAAGAGAGCAAGCTAAGGCTCTGTTTGGTAGAGTTATTTGGTTGAGAAAGACGCTGGTACTTGGTAGCATTTATTTCATCTAATAAAGTGACTATGTAGTTATTAAGCTAATCAGGAGAATAAGCAGATCGTTGCTGCCAAATGCTGTGTTACAAGAACCGGACCGGACCAGGCAGGTCGACCCGAAAACCGGGAACCCGGAACCTCGGCCGGTCCGGTTGTCTGGTAACCCGTACATACACCAATAACCGAATTTACCCGGTAGCCCGGCATGACCCGGGACAGGCCCGTAACCGGCCAAACTTGGCAAACCCGGTAAAATATGGAAAAACCGGATGGAAATAAAATTCTGGGGCTGGAGGGAGTCGAACACACGTCCCTCATGAGAAAGAATGATCGGAAGCCACTGGACTGGAGATACCTGCTGTAATACGTTGGTCTTTAGCTATACTAATAGTATATAATACTCAGTAGAACTTAAGATACTAATTCTAATACATAAGTTTTCAAAAAAAAAATCTAATACATAATTAATGTAAAATATATTATTATTGTTATTGTAGTACTACGTACAAATTATGTATATAATAATTTTTCAGTGTAACTGAAAAATGCTTATATGAAATTTTTAAGATTTTGTAATAAATTCTTTTCATATTTTTTAAAAACCAAATCAAATTAAATTATTGTTATATGTAGCACTAATTATACTTTAGGATATTATTATTATGAGTGTGCTTTCAATGATTACTAGTATTAAAATTATTTGATTATTGTGAAAATTAATTACTTTTTATTTTAATTCTATATATTATAATATTTATATTAATATAATACTCCCTCAGTCCCAATATAAAAGACACACTTTCCTTTTCGGGCCGTCCCAATATAAAAGGCACATTTCCCTTTTTGGCAAACAAAACAGTGCCAAATAGTGCCAAACAGTGTCTAAACAATGCCAAACAGTGTTCAAACAGTGTTCACCCTAAAAATGTGTGGAAACGCAAATGTGCCTTTTATATTGGGACGAAGGGAGTAACTTGTAAATGTTGACCGAGTTCTCCCGGCGTTGACCGGGTTGACCCGCCAGGTCCGGGCTGACCCGTGACCCGGTCATTTGTCTGGGTCGATCACCGGACTGGTTCTTGTAACATAGGCCAAATGTGGAGCCTAAAAGAGGGACAAAGCGAGTACCAATTTTACGAGAATCTATGGGTAGATACTGTGTAATGGGATTCTTTATTACACGGAGTAGTTTTTCTCTCTTCCCAACAGCCGTTATGTTAAGCTTTTGAAGCAACTGCACTGAAATCATTCAAACATTAAGAGAAATTGGAACAGAGCGGATAACCTTTTAGATTGGAAATGAAAAGCTTATGAAACTAATAAAACAAAAAATTGTGGAAACCAACAAAAATGGGAACTTACACATGATACCAGAAAATCGCTTAAATGTCCTAGGGATACGAACATGAGGTTTGACTTCAAAAAGGACACCTTTTTCTGTCTTCACATACAGAGCCTTCAATCTCCCAGCCTTATTTAACCGGCTGTCTAAAATCATAAGCATTGCCTAATAACATCAAGCCAGATTATCAGAAACGTGCCTAAATTATTATGGCCTAATAAGATCAGGCCAGATTCCAGCAGCACTCAAGGACACAGACTAACATAACCAACCTAAGCTCATCCTTTTGATATGATAGAAGATTCATACAGAAACTATTTTGTGAGAAATATCTTTCTATTATGTTTCTTGCAAAATGAAGCGATTTGATCGCAAGATGTGAATAAAGTAACAAAAAAAATATCATCTCCTTAAAAAAGGTCAAGACTTTATGTCCTGAAATTGTGCGTGACAGCCATGACTACATGAAAAGAAACTGAATTAAACAAATATATGACTTCAGCTCATTCCATTTTCCGAACCGTGTCAATGATAATTCGTATCACATTAACTGAGGCCAACGAAAGCCCTAGGCTAGTGCACATCCATTTCAAAAAGTAAATATTTAGGCATATGTGCTAATTGCTAAATATGACTCCATATGTAAGCATCACTGTTGACTGGAGTAACAAGCAAACCAATCGACTCAACTTTTACTTTCAGTACCAGGAAACTATCCCACAGTCCATTGTTCCTCTTCGCATAGGGTAATGATTTATTTGAAGGTTTTCAGTCTTATATCACAAGAGAAAGTGGGGAATTCGCACCAAATGAGGCCGTACTTTACATAAAGCTATGGTGTTATACAAGAATGATTCAACACTAATATTTCCACTTAATTAAACTTAATAAGGCCAAACAGAAACATTCAGTAATATGAGGTTCAATTGCAAATTCTGCTAACCTGATGAGCAATGTCAGGTCGATATTCAGCTGGGTTTAGGTTATTTCTCTTTAGAAAGCCAGCATGCTCATCCGAGTTGAGAAGTTGATAGGTCTATATCAATAGAGAAGCACTGTCAACCGCCACATCAGAGACATACTTAATAAAAGAGATAAAGTTCAAGAAGTTCAGAGCTCGGTAATACCTTTCCGATTTTGGCAATCTCCAATGAAGCCCTCTCTAGTATAAAAATGACAGAAGGTTTTTTGCTCTGTTCAGTTGAAACAATTGGTATACCAGGGAGTAAATTAACCACCTTTTCTGCCTCCTCTTCATCCTCTGCAGCAACCTCAGTCTTGGCCTTTTTTATGGCTTCCGTTGTTTCCTCTGAGGAACACTGGTCAGCTATTTCATCCCTATCATATTTCTCCTCTTTCGTTTTCCTCTTCTGCCCTTTAACCTTGTAAGCACGGCCCATTTTTTACGCTAAGGCTTACAGGAACTCGGTGACGATTGACTTTAGGGCCTTTTCCTGGTTCTGCTTCAGATGATGAAGAATGATGGAGACGGATATGTGAATTGGGTTAGTAGGGCTGCTTCTTGTCAATAGCCAACTTTTTTTATTGTCCTGCGATTTTTTTTAAATATATTTTTTCAAGTGATTTGAGAGGAAGTGACTTTTTGAGATGAAAAAATGGTTTTGAAAAAATAAATGCTAATTGTATTTGATAAATAATGAGTTTTTGTATATTAGGAAAAGTGAAAAGCTGTTTAAACAATCATTCACTTTCTTTCAAGTTTTATCATTAATTTATGTCTCACCCGTACGATACATAGATGAATATTTACATTCATATATTTTTTTTTAATATAAATTCATGTAATTATATATTAAAGAGTGATATGTAATGACAAAAATAAATTTATAAGAAAATTAAAATCTCCATATTATACATGCATGGAAGACTTTGTGTAACCTCAAAATAGCATATAAAAATTTAAAGATTTTAAGATATTTCTCTATACATCACATTTACATAAATCATTTGTAATAGCTGGAACTTTTTCATGATCTACTCACTCAACATTGTCTTCACCTAAACCATCTTAATCTCTCATTTACAGGCGCGGCCCTGTATATTTGAAGGCTTCGGGCGAATAATTTAAAATGGGCCTAATTATTTTTAAGATATTGTAAAACCCATTTGTGTCTAAATTAACATGCAAAATAATAATATTTGAAGACCTTAATAATAAAGAAAATACTTGAATTCGTTAAATTAAACATAGGCGAATCACGTTTTCAAAATAATCAAATAAAAAATTACTTAAATACATTCCTTGCTGAACATTGTGGAGCAAAGTCGATCACCAACTATAGCTTCATAATCAAGCTTTTCTAACACATTATGCACAATGCTTAATATAGGTAAACCTTGAAATTAGTTAAACTTATAAATTTAATTATAATTGAAATTTTTTCCTAACAAAATGAACAAATTATAGCACCAAAACTCAATAAGTAACAATCAACAATTAAGTGATCGACATGTAACGAATAAACTAATTATTCGTCAACTATTCATAATCATTTATAAATATTAAACAACTATGAATTAAATCAATTTATCAATTAATAAACTGGTCACATAATCATATGTTCGTATTAATCTAATAAATTAATAAAAGAAAATGTTAATTGTTAAAAAATGGTCACATAATCACTAAAAGAAAATGTTAAAAACTGTAATTTTGTAAGCGTGTAAACCAATGGCCAAACTGCCAAAGCAGAAGGTCGGAAGTCGGAAGGTGTACCTGCATGATCAATATACCCAATTCTATTTCTGAAATCATATCAAGTGGATAAAAATTTGAGCTTTGATATCAATTTTTTACTTCCAAGCTCGTACGCAACTACACAAGAATTCTTGAATTAAAAATGAACTCATTCAATTTGATAAGTTCTAATCTCTGTAAGTCTCTAACCTGATAACCAGAACTCCTGAAGGCTTGGAGAGTTGGAGCTGGAGACCTGAAGTGCTGGACGCCGATGTCGAAGGCTGAAGGCAGAACGGAATGGCGAACCGCGTGAGTTTACAGTCGTGGGGGGTGAAGGGTTGAAAACAGGACGGAAGTGAACTTCAGTAGGCTGGAGGCATGTTAGTTACACAGTTTTGGGCTGGTTGGACTACACAAAACTTTTGGACAGTAAATCAACCTACTCAAACATACCATAAAGATTGAACCTGAATAGATCATTTTTGGGCCTAGGGCCCCTAGCCCCCTGCCTCCCCCTGGGCCGTCCCTGCTCATTTATGAAGATGCTTTATGAATAGCAGCAATACGGAAGCTCTTTCTTCAAATTGAGTAGGACATTTCAAGTCACATCGACTCTTTTTTTCTTGATTCTGCTTAAGAAAAAACGTTAATTAAAAAACATTGAATTTGAACATTTAAAATTTCAAATATTTCAAATATTAAATTCATTAAAGATAATGTTACCATTTCTAATATCAGACTATGGTAAAATCCAAGATCGTACGGAGTATGAGATTGACAGTCCCTCTCTCTAAAAAACAGAGGACTAAAGCATGTAACAGTTCGTCGATATTTCAGATAGAGGGACGACTACATAATGAAAAACAAGCTTTCATAACAAAACTTAACTAAAAAGAATAAGTCATTTGATGGAGTATATTGTCATATATCTTAGAAGCCCAAATTAGACGGCCCAAGATAGTAGGCCAAGTCATATATCAATCAGAGCGAGGCCAATCCGCGAGGTCGAACCCATCGACAACAACTTTAGATATTTCGTTGATGAAATTGGAAGAGGCTAAGTGGACCCGATCAACCTCGGTGTGGTTACAGTTTTGCACTTAGTCGTTTCCCGATCATCCCAACAAGGCGCATATCGGGCTTACGTCACTTAGGTTTACATAGATGCCAAGACCCTGTTTTCCGAAACGGCTAACATCTTCGAATTTTAAACTAATTTTATTCTGTGTCTGTGATCGAGTCTATGGGCTCAAACTCATAGCCCACATATTCATAGATATACAGCTAACCCATCAGCTATCGAACTACCCACATCGGTTGTGCCCCTTGGCTAAACGAGCACCACCAACAACAAAAGTCACCAGAAACAGTGGAATCGGATAACAAGCACACCTGGGCCAACATCAGTTCGCACACTGGGCTTGGACACCTCAGCTTGGTCCAGTCCAGGAAGAGACTCGCTCAAGGTTAAGGAGAAGCAAGGACGACGGCCCAAGCACCTCGTCCCGGGCGCCTCGTCCACCAACTCAACATATGACTAGAAGGACATGTGTCACATTTTGCCGCGTGGCAGGCCCTCGCAGATAGACTAGCTCATACGTGTACTTGCATTTAATGCACTCAGCAATTCATTACTAGTATAAATACCACCAGATAAATGTAAATGGTCTGAAAATCATTTAATATCATATTACTTTCTCTCTCCCTATCTCTCTCCCTCTAACTCTTGTCTCTCACTTCTCTCTACAATAATACTAACGATTTACCGCCAAGCTATAAGTGTATTGTTTCTCTCTTTTGTGTGCTTTCGTGTAGATGACTGAATGAATGGTTGATTTCACTAGAGAATTCTAGATAAAGATCTCTAGTTGAAAAGTTTAGAATTTTCTCAATACATTATTTGACATTATTTCAAATTTTTTAATACAACGTCAACAGTTAGTTAGCCTTCCATTTAGTTAGGTAGCAGCTAGATGTGGCGGTTTCATCCTAAGAATTTATTTCAAAACCACAGGTGGGTTGCTGCTGTCCAAAGGCCCTGGGTAGCCATATCCTCGCACATGGCCCCGGTGACCCCGCTGTGGCCGTTGTCCATGATTTCCGCGGCCTCCCCATTGTGAAGCTCCCCCTTGTCCAAAGGGGTTCTATTCAGAACGTTGCGGCCGACCAGAGGAAGTTTGCCCTGTAGCCGAGAATGCTTAGAAAGACACGGTCATTCCGGAATTACTCTCGTCTGGAAAGACACATTAATTCGCTAACACTGAATGAATTAGTTCTCTATAATGACCATATGGAGAGACTTGCCACTCGCAACATCCACCACATGTATCTAGATACAATTTATTATGACGCGCGTTGCGCGATTAGAAAATGCCCAACGCGTTTGTGTGTGTGTGTTATCTTGCATACTTGTTTTTTTATGGTAAATTGCATAAAATGATCAAATAAATTTGAACCTAAACCATGTTACATTTGTAGGATATTACTATGTATCTTAAGGGCACCGAACTATCTAAAACGCAATCTTCATATTTGTCCAAAGTGGTTGAGCTGCTCACAATGGTCTGCTCAATGTACCTGATTTTCAAAAGTTCAGGAACCTTGTATCTAATAGCCTCAACAGTTCCCCATACATCTGTTACAACGCCACCAACCGTGTCAAGGACTGCCGCTTCGACCGTGATGCATGCTAAACACCTATTTTTCCCTAGCCATGTCTTTCTATAAATAGCTTGGGAAGGATGGTCTGAAACCAGAATATGTTTAGGTTAACGTAGTTTCTCGAAGGTAAATCACATTTATGTATATCTAAAAGCAAAGTATGAATTTTGAAATTTTCACTTTAACTAACCTAATATAATCTTTCTAAATATGAGCTGACTCTAATGCTAAAAATCTGAAAAATAAACAAGAACTTTCAACTTAAATTATGAAAAGGTTATTAAACGTACATACCACTTTCCTAAACATGCAAAATTAGCCGTCCTAAATTATAAACAGTGTATATGTACATCTAAATGGAGTTTCTGTTGCAAGAAATGTTCACATTAAACTAACATGACATTATCCATTACTATGAACTAACTATGATACGGAGTACTAAACACATGAAATCTAAACATCATTTTCCCATTAAACGAACCTAAGTTATGAAAAATCTATTGACAGTGACACTTCTTTAAAGATGAAAAATTAATGACTTCAAATCAGAATACCAAAATTAAGATATGAGATTCTCATTAAAAAAAATAATGTATAGTTTAGCACAACTTGCTTAATCTTTTGTGACTATTTACAGTTGTGGTAGAAAATCAGTTTTCTTTAAGTTCCTGTTTATTAAGAAACAAAACATCATAGAGAAAAATGTCTTAGGCATAAAAATAATGAAACAATAAAGGAATGATACGGAGTTATTAACTAAAATATAGAGAGCCAAATAAAACATGAACAGGCCTAGGAGTGATAGACTGATAGATAAAGGAATATATGATCCAAGAATCCTTAGGAGCATGTTTTCACAAAGAAATAGAATTTCAGACCTTCATGGCTGCAGTAACTGGCCATTTCCAGATTGGTCTCCCAAGATAAAGAATGAGTCCTCAAAATCCAGAGATCAGTACAAGAAATTATCACAGTTTGTTAACCTTCCATCCTATAATTCACTTTTGGAGCCTCATTCTTTTCTAATGATCAGTTTAGTTTTCTTGAAAACACATAAAATCTGTCCCTATACACCACACCTTAAATTTTCATATCCTTATCAAGCAAATGGAAGAAATCACTAAGCAGCTGAAATGATTATAACCACAAGTAGCATAGAGATTATTTAATAATCTCACCTTATATGAACTAAATATAGAATATAAGCTATCAAATAACTAAACGTATGAAATGATTGTTAAAAAGATTGAAAATGACCATTATTAAAAAAATCATGAAGCATTTCAGAATCAAACTCTAGGAATGGAAACAGCAATATATACCAAAAGGCAGAGTCCACTGAATAACATGAATGATCACTCCAAAGTTTTTTTTAAAAGAATAAACTGATTTTGAGCAGCAATGCAGCATAACCATATTGGAGTTAAGCACCAGAGGAATTCCTGAAGAATTGCAGCAGCTCCTTTAAAACCTAGCCTATCATTAAAAGCAGCCAAGTTTGTTTAGTACCCAATTTATAAGGACATATAGAGCTGAGAGCCACATTTAAAAGATAAAAACAACTAAAAAAAGTTAACCATCACATTAAAACCTCATTAATAACACAAGCATCGGGAAAATCAAAATGAAATTACTATACAGTGGGAGAATAGCTTTATGTGGCTGATTTTGTGATGGTTTTTCATACTAGACATATTGTAAGGAATAAATGTATTTAGATTTTGATGATGCTATAGGATTAGAATTTTAAAGTACCCCCAAATTAGATTTTATGTATTAGAATTTTCAATTGTAAGTATTAGTGTAGTCGACGATCAGAGTTGCTCTATTTTGGACCAGATCAGAAGTGCATCAGAACTGCTCGACCAGACTTGCTCTATGAGAACTGCTCCATCAGAATTCTCTTAGCAGAAGTTCATCAAAGTTGCACCATGAGAGTTGCTGAGAAAGTTGGACATCTGATAACCGATGAGAACTACAAATCAAAGGTACTCATCAGCGGACATATCAGAGTCAGAGTTAGAACTCTATCCAAGATCAGAAAGCCATCAGAACTCAACTCATCAGAAGAGCCTGATCAGAGCCCGACTAACACTTAGAAGATTTCAAGCAACATCCAACAGCTATGAATTCAACGGGTAAAACATCCAACGGCTAGAAGACTGTGCATGAAAGGAAAGCATTTAATGCACATTAAATGAGCCTGATACGCTGAAGGATTGATTGCAAATGATTGACCAAGGAATCCGGGAAGATATATTATAAAAATAGAAACCTTCCAAAACGGCGGTCAAGTCAACTGTACGCGCATTTAATGCAGTTGTCTCCCCCTCCAACGGGCAGACAACCCCAGTATATAAGCTACTCACCGAAGAACAGGGATGAACTTTGCTACAACTCTTGCTCAAAAAAAAAAAAGTTTCAAGCTTTCTTGAGATTCAAACTCCACAACACAAAAACAAGAAAAAAAGGTTACGTTGGGAAGATTCAATCTCACAATCTCTTATCCCCAACAAGAGCAAAGTTCATCCTGCTCTTCAACACTTCAAGAACTTCAACTACATATCTCTTGTAACGAAGCAAGTTGGAGAAAACTCTGTTTTCAGAACATCTTCTGAAAAGAAGGGCGTCCAAGTAACTGCAGTAGTGAAGTGGTGATACTTCCGGGAAGCTGAGTGAAAGGACCAGCCATCAGGACGTGGAATTGCATCCTGGGTGGCATCTAGGCTTGAAGAAGACGAGGAGTGCTTCTTAAGTGCTAGG